TGAATTTTTAAATCAAATATATTAAAATTACCTTTACTATAGTGAACTAGCCAATTAAATTCTTTAAAAAATTCGTTTTAAGCTTATAACGAAGTTGATATCCAGATCCTATAATTCGTTATATCAAGAGTTCACTGTATATAGTTATCCCTGAGCATCTTCGTGAGTTGGGTCTCATTGAATGAACTCAAAACTTTAAAATGTTTTATGATTTACTTCTGTGCAGATTACGTAAGATTCATTTTTTTATTTGTGATTATTATTATAATTACAACGAAACAATACTTCTATTATTAAAATAAACGGTGAAGTTGTTGATGGCTAAATATAGTGGAGCTATAAAGTGTCGACTAAACTCAGGTTATTGAAGTATGAAAGCCTTGAAGGCCTCTTTTGCGCCCTCGATTCCTCGAACCCCTCCTTTACTTCACGAGCTAACAACTAAATTCATGATTAATTTGTTAATGAAATTTGTTTTTTTTGTATGTGATAATTCAAGCACTGAATACTTACAGCCCACTTTATCACGCATTCATAGAACAGTACAAAATCTTCCATCTCCGTGAAATCCCTTGGGAGATTCGTATTATCTACTTCATTTAGCCGGAACTTTTCTCCTAAGATTAGCATTATCATTAGTTAGTGGAGTGAGTAAAAAGTTACGATATAACACGAATAATAATTTAAATCAAATGTAAATGATGTACCACAATAATCCATGAATTGCAGATGGATTCGAAGTTGGAAACTTTGTCCACCAAAGACGGCAAGAGATTTTGGTAGCCGTCTTCTGCACTTTGCGTTATCTTTGACTATGTTTAAGAAAATTTTTTGGAGATTATTTGAAATTTTGGTAGCATCCGCTATCTCTTTCTCATCTCTAGCATGTGGCCTTGATCCTTCCACATATACTAGTTGGAACTTGTCAGCAGTGTTTAAGTAACCTATACCATCAGCACATTCACGCTTTACATGGTTTTTGGACCCAATCTCCCCAAATTCATAGCTTATCAATGATATGTACCACAAAACAGCCTGCAAGCATGGGTGCACAAAAGAGTTCAGGTGTGGCTTTTCTAAGGTAACCAAATTAAGTAGAGGGTTTTGTGGACCCATCGAAAATGCCATGATGCTATTAAAATTGAGTAAACGCCTTGTAAATGAAACACTCTTCTAAGTGAAAGCAAAAAACAATTGTACTTACAATAATGGTAATGTTTTACGTAAAATTCGCACAGCTGATACCATCAGCGAATCACTTTGATCTGGACAGCGCAGATCATCAATCTTTATGTGTCACTCCTCACCGGTCAAATTTTGCTGGAAGAAATTCGTAAAAAATTCATGTAAATCAGATGGAATTAAATTCTCGATCCTATCATCAAGCTCTTTAAGGTATGATACCAGAGTCCCATAAGGAAGTTGTTTGATGAAGTTTGAACTAGGACATAAATCGATTAAAGAGTCATTTGAATACAGTTCATTATGACGTTGACAGATTGATTTCATATTCTCAGAACATTGAACATCGGTCCCAAATAAGTATTGAAGGGATTTCTCACTTGGATCCTATAGAAACAATACCATCAAATATATCTCCTAAAACTGTACACTACAAAAAAATTTTTGCATACTTTACCACAGCTTCTTGTTCTTCTTCGCGCTTCCTCTTGGAAGCTTCACCAGTACTTGAGGCTTCTGAAGTAGAATTAGAAGAAATAGTTGCTAGTTTTTGATCTTCAACAGTGAGCTGAACCTCTGTTTCAAACAATGATTTTTTGACGACTAGTAACTCCCTCTTGGATTCTTCAAGCGCCTGTGAAATCGAATGGTTTTCTGTTACGTGGATATAATAATTAAATGAAAGTAATTATCAACGCAAGCGATTTACCTTTACGTCCATTCTTTCGAAAAAAGTAGAAACTTCTTTTGAATTAAATATCTCTTCTATATTATTATAAAGTCTAGTAGCTTTGTTTCTCGCGCTTTTCGATATTGACTGATGATTCATCGTTGAGTATACATGACTTTTAAATTCATTTTGACACAGTTGTCGATCAAACGTTCTTAGTGAGCATTTACTTTCCAGAAAATCTAAACACTTAGGAAAACACCAGTCCTTGTATGGAGTCTGCTTAAAAAAAAAGGAAATTGCGTTTGAAGGTTCCATCTGAAATGATAATCGATTAATTTAGTAACAATATCTAGCAATCGCATCAGAGTAAGCTTATGTGTATATTAGCATTGACAAAATAAGTCTCTGAGAAGAAGCCAGCACACTAGGGCACTAAGTAGGGTAATCAAGACTATAACCCTCCTAGTGGGTGTCTATGACAACCTCCTCCAAGCATCGGCCACATGGGCAGTGCTGATGTTTAGCCCATACGCACAAAGACCACGTGTGCTGTAAGATACTGTGTATGCAAAAAGTAATCATAAAAACGTAAAAGAAAATTTACTTAACTGGTGTTTATATTTAACAACTCGAAATGAAAATGTAAGTCGCAAAAAAGGTGGTTAAATGATCAACATGTGATACATACATGATTTACGGTATCAGGATCTTAATTTATGTCGCACACGCCTCTCACGTACGTAAAAAAAAATATTGTATTATTATACTGTAGTAATTATGAATATGTAAGTCAGTTATACATATAGATTATCCCGGGTGATGCTGGAAATACATTACATTCTGGCCAGCTTCGAGGACGTAGTAATTTTTTCTGAGTCATATTTTTGCGTTTCCTATTTAATGA